ATCTGACAGGAGGGAGCCTCGTTGAGCTGCAAGTGTGGCTACAGACGGAGTTCACCCCGTCACGGAGGGGTAGGGTCGAGGGAGTGGTTTGGGATTGGGCCAGAGTTTCTCTTTGTCAAGGATAAATGGAGACACAGAGACATAGTCAATATCCTCTTGTGCTTCCAGGAGCATGCCCTCTCAGTAGAAAGCAACACAGGGTCATTACAGCTCTCACTTCAGAGCACTTTCTTGGGTCTAAAAATAAAAGCTTTTCTCTACAGATCATTGATGACAAGTAGACACTGGGTCTATATCTGCATCCACATGGGAATTGATTTCTCATCGACATTGTTATGAACTCAACAACAAAAGCAGGCAGGTTGTGGAAACGACTTCTGGCTCAGGGCAAACATGTCAGAAGTGCAATTATGTCTTTGGACTTTGAACTATGCAATTAATCTAAGGATAAAGGGGTTTACATTTGATATGTTGCCCTGAAGCCATGATCAGTCCACATGATCCACAGCAGTTATGTAGGAGGAGAGTGTGGCACACTGACCACTCTCCTTGAGTTACTTACATTTTAAAAAGTGATGATATACTGTAAGGCAAAGTCTTAGGCAGGTGCGACAAATAATATACTGTGGCCCAAAAAGTAATGTACCCAGTTATAACTCGTCCCAAAGTTCAAATGTATACGCAAACAGCACCGGCACTGTAAACATAGCCTGCAAAATAAAACAAACACACCAATGTTGGGCAGCAGCACCTCCCAGCATCCACATAAATCAAGGTAGTAGATTTAAAGTTTAGGGCTATCACTATGAGCAGCAACGCTCTAAATATTGACAAATAAATCCAGGAAAATGGCACAAAAGAAAACTGGTAGTGGCCTGGCTGGGTGTATAATTCCAGGCCTGACTTATTGTCCCAGTCCGGCCCTGGAAGTAGCCTTTTGTTTTTATGCAGCATACTGTACCTGGAACAAACTCTCAGAAAACATTATTTGTTTTCTTTCAAATCAAATAATTTCTTACACTGCACTGTAACTTTATTCTTGTATTTGATATCGGACTTGATCTATTTTAGCTTAATTTAATCTTGTATGCTTTTTGTTGGTTTAAACCATGAATCTTAGAATTGTAATTGAATGGCCTTCCCTTTCATGCAAATGTGATATTTAAATAAACTTGCATTGCCTAGACAATACAGTTTCAAATACAGGTACAATTCACTATCTTTCCATGAAGCTCAGCACGGGAAAGAGCATTTTGTACTAAAATGAACTGCAGCTTAGAGGAGTCTCATTAAACACCCGTCTCAGACTGCTGAAGCCTTGATTAGCTTAACTAAACCCACAAAGCCATTTCCCACAGAACAAAGCCTGTGGATTTCACACCAGGAATAACTTTTCTTATAACACTTTTACTTTACATGTATGTGACTTTTGTATTGCATGATTGACATAAATATGGCACTTGTCATAAATGTTTCCTTGTTGCAATTTGTGTGCGTTTGATGCTTGTTACATCAGAAAAATGAACGCTGTGAAGTCACCAGAGAGGCCTCGTCAGAGTATAATGCCTGGAGGGAAATACAGAGACAGGAGACATGTGTTTCCCAGCTCAATAAACCGTCAGGACGGAGCAACATCCCTCAGAGGCCGGCATGCTTTGTGAACATGATTTGATGCATGAAAGAAGTCTACCTTTTATGGCAAATCCTCACCTGACTAATCCTTCACTGAGCGACTTAAAACCAGAGACGGTGTGAGGCTGAGACACGAACAATGTTGGGAAAGTGAAGAGGAACAGGGGAGAGGAACGTGAGGGTAACGCTTGTCCCTCAACAATGACAACAGCTTTAAACAAAGGATTTACATATGAAAGATGTAGCCTACCTGGATCCCAGGTGTAAAAGCGGTTTGCAATACAAGTCTAAAAAACTTCTCCAGACAAGTTAAGTTTAAGTTTTTTGTTTAAAAAGAAAAAGGCAAAATGTGTTAATTTAACAAGATTAATGCATACTGGAACATGATTGGCTTCATATTTGTGATATCACAGGTTTGTACATCGTGTATCCAATTCTTTTTTTATGTGAATCTATGAACACTTTAAACTTCAATTTAACAGATTAAACACATAAGCTGTTAAATTATTTTGTGGGTTTTACTAACACAACAGCATGATACAAAAATGTATAACTTCAACAAAACTGGGAACAGCTATAACATTAAAATATTACCTACAAGTGGTCAAAGTTATATTTTAGCT